GGTCAGTGTCCAACGTATGGTGCTGTTTCTCCCACAGCCAGGACTCAGGGGTCCAGAAGTCAAGGGGTGGACCATGGCAGGGGCCCCACTCACCATCGCCCCCTAGATATGCTGCCAAAAGTTTGCTCCCTGCTCCTGTTTCATACTCTGCTGACCCAGAGATCTGTTCCAGAGGCAAGAGTGCTTCCCCCAAGAGGCACAACAGTGACGCCATTGAACTGGAAGGCAAGGCTGCCACTTCCCACCACGGGCTCCTCATGCTTCTGAGTCAACAGGCCGACAGGAAGTTATGGGGTTGCCGGGGGGGGGGGCGGGATTGATTCTGAATCCCAAAGGGGTAAGGAAGAATATTCTGGAATACAGGAGACCCTGTAGGGCATCGCTAAGTATTACCACCACACCCTGTGATTAAGTTCAAGGGAAACTGTAATGACTGAAAGCAGGCATAACTATGAATGGCCCAAATCCTTCAAGAATGATGGCTTAGGTCACCCAAACAGGTAAAATACCATGACTAGCAGGCCAGGGTGCTGGCTGAGGGTAAATGGAATACAGAATTTATAATAGAAGGCAGCTGTGAATACTAGTGATACCACATGATCTGTCATAGAAATGAAGGCTATAATTATCACAAGTACTTCCTCCTTATTTTGCTGTGAATATGATTGTGTGCATATTGAAAATATCTTTGCTTCCTTTCCTCTCTTATTCCCTTATCAGGTAACATGAGATATGTTCACCTTAGGGTCAGTGTTGTGGTGCAGTGGGTTAAGCCACCACCTTGTGTATCCCATATTGGAGTGCTGGTTCGAATCTCAGAGGCTCTACTTCAGATCCAGCTCCCTGCTAATGCACCTGGGAAGGCAGTGGAGGATGGCCCAAGTACTTTGGCCACTGCCACCCACATGAGAGACCAGGATGATATTCCTGGAGCCTGGTTTCAGACTGGGCTAAATCCAGCTGTTGCAGGCATTTGGAGAGTGAACCAGTAGATGGAAGATCTCCTCTCTTTGTCTCTCCCTCTCTCTGTTGTTCTGCCTTTCAAATAAATAAATAAATAAATATATTTTTAAAAATAGATGTATTGAATTTGTATAATAACATTTAAGTATTGTCAATTTTACATCACAGTATTATGGGTTACTAAGAAAAGTAAATATAGGCCGGTGCCATGGCTCAATAGGCTAATCCTCCACCTGTGGCGCCAGCACCCAGGTTCTAGTCCCGGTCGGGGCGCCGGATTCTGTCCCGGTGGCTCCTCTTCCAGGCCAGCTCTCTGCTGTGGCCCGGGAGTGCAGTGGAGGATGGCCCAAGTGCTTGGGCCCTGCACCCCATGGGAGACCAGGAGAAGCACCTGGCTCCTGGCTTCGGATCAGCGTGGTGCGCCGGCCGCATTGGCCATTGGTGGGGTGAACCAATGGAAAAGGAAGAGCTTTCTCTCTGTCTCTCTCTCTCTCTCTCTCTCACTGTCCACTCTGCCTGTCCAAAAAAAAAAAAAAAAAAAGAGTAAATATTGCTCAAGGATTGTACCTCCTCTTCTGGGGAAGGGATTAGAGCATTTTCAGTTGTACAGAGGATATCTGTATCAGGCAATGCGGAATTATGACCTTTTTAATTGTCTTCATTTGGAGATTAAGTGTAGCTTAATTAAGTTGACAAGGGTTGAAGAGTTGAGGTAGTTACTTTTTGTAACTTTTTTTAAAAATTTATTTGAAGGCAAAGTTAGAGAGGGCAAAGGTGAGGGGGAGAGAGAGGGAGAGAGAGGGAGAGAGAGGGAGAGAGAGGGGAGAGAGAGGGAGAGAGAGGGAGAGAGAGGGAAAGAGAGAGAGAGAGATCTTCCATCTGCTGATTCACTCCCAAATGGCCACAAAGGCTAGGACTAGGCCAGGCTGAAGCCAGGAGCCTGGAGCT